GTTGATTCGTATGCGATGGCTCAGGATCTTCGCTGATTCGATGAGCATTTCTTCAGCTGGCCCTAGATCCTGGGCGATTGGCTGCCGGGCGATGTTTGACGTGTCGGCCCCAAAAGGACGAAGAAGGCTGATATGGAATGAATTATGTTTTTTCCAATCGTCGGGCTGACGGAGTTGGGCGGTCACTGGCGTGATCATCTTGATGATTTTGAATGGTCTACTGTAACGGGGTCGGAGTTTTGGCGGTATCTGCGGGCGAAGGTTTTTGGTGTCAAGGAGGACTCGTTTCCCTGCAGTCAAGGTAATATCTTGTCTGTGGTGGTCGGCATATTGGCGGGCAGTGACATTGGCACTTCGGATAAATTCGATGGCTTTCGTGTGGGCAGTTTGAAGGTCTTCGACGAACTGCTGTGAGTGGGGGACTTGGGATTCGACGTTGGTAGAAATGGGTACCGTCGGATCCATCCCGTAATTTAAGAAAAAGAGCGAGTGATAAGTTGTGGCGGAGGGTGCATTATTGTAGGAAAACTCAAGCTTGGGTAGCGAATCTTCCCATTTGCTGATATCCAGGTAGTTTGTGCAAATCAACTGTTCCATGGTCTGATTTGTCCATTCTGTCTTTCCGTCGGTTTGCGGGTGATAGGCGGATGAGAACTGTAGGTGGGTGCCGTATCGGTTCCACGTGTCTTGCCAGAAGCGCGAGGTGAATTTTGGGTCTGTGTCGTTGATGATCGCCGCAGGGATACCATGCAGGCAAACGACAGCCGAGATGAACAGACACGCGGTTTCTTCAACGGTGATCGTCGTCCGACATGGTGCGAAGTGAGCCATTTTCGTAAGGCAGACGACGACGACAGGGACCGCGACGTTTCCACTTGGTCCGGCCGGCAGGCCAGTGACAAAATCCATTGTCACGTGTTGCCAAGGACGCTAGGGTGGCTCGAGGGGCTGCAGCAGTCCTGCTGACCGCTGGCGTGATGATTTCATTGTCTGGCAGGTCGGACACGCGCCCACGTACTTTTGCACATCTGAAATCATGTCGGGCCAGTAATAAAACTGCTGCAGTTGCTTCAGAGACTTGTCAACCCGAAATGTCCCGATAAGTTCTAATCGTGGACTTCTTGAATTAGTCATTCGCGAAGTAGACGAAAACTCGGAACCCAAATTCGTTCCGTTCCCGCTTTTACGTAATAGGATCCCCGCGCGGTCGTGACCTGCTGGTGGCCGTTGTTTACGAAAAGGGGATCGATCGAACATCCGTGGGTAAATAGTCCGCTCAGCAACGGGTTTGTCTAGGTGATTAGTACAGCGGCGGGTTGGGCAGATGGTCTGGAGAGGGCGTCAGCAATGTTGTTGGCCCCCTTCTTGTACGTGATTCGATACGTTAAGTTCGACTCCAGATAATCCAACTAGCGATACGTGAAGATTCGGCTGCGTGCGCAGATATTGTAGGGATTTGTGATCTATTCGTACAGTCACGTCGGCTCCCGTCAGGTAGCTTCGCCAGATCTTGAATGCGTGCACGATCGCCATCATTTCTTTGTCGTGTACGGGATAATTTCGCTCGGCCGACTGTAATTTTCGCAATTCATACGTGATTGGCTGAAGGCCGTCGCCAAAATCCTGTAGCAGAACTGCTCCGATTGCGATGTCACTTGCGTCTGTCACGACCTCGAATGGTCGTTCTGGGTCAGCAATCCGAAGTACTGGTGGCGAGATTTTTTATTTTTTTTATCCGTCGAACGCAGCATGCTAGTTCCCTCCCACTGATAATCAGTGCCCTTATGAAGTAGACCAGTTAGTGCCCCAGTTTACCCCGCCATATTGTGGATAAACCGACGCACATAATTGACGAACCCCAAAAACGATTGGAGCTCCTGGAGGTTGATCGACGGCTTCCATTACTGAATTGCCCGAATTTTGCAGGGGTCAATTTTCACGCCTTCCGTCGAAATAACGTGCCCCAAACTCCAGTTCGGGATTTAAAAACTCGCACTTTGAGCCTTTGGTGATGAGACAATTTTGCGGCAGGCGTTGAAAAACCGCTTCCAGGTCCCATATGTGCTACTCCCGTGTTGTGCTGTAAACCAGGATGCCATCCAGATAAATGATGACACAATTATCGAGTAGATCCCGGAATACCCCGTTCATCGTCAGCTGGAATGTCGAGGGGGCATTCGTTAACCCGAATGGCATGACACTGTATTCGTAACTCCCGTAGCAAGTACGAAACGCGGTCTTGTGGCAATCGTCGCCGAAGACTCAAATCTGGTGATAACCGCCGCGAAGGATGATCTTTGAGAAATAGTGAGCGCCTCGCAGCTGGTCAATCAGTTCGTCCGCACGCAGGATCGGGTAGCGAGACTTTATCGTAGCCCGATTAAGGGCGCGATAATCAATGCACATTCGGAGGCCCCCATCCTCCTTGGGTGTGAACAAGATCGGGGCGGCGAACGGGGACGTACTCGGTCGAACGAACCCTTTGGCCAGCAAATAGTCTAGCTGCTCCCATACTTCCTGGAGCTCGGGCTACGTCATTCGCCATTGTGTTCGGACAGTTGGTTGCGCGCAGGCTCGGGTTCGATCCGATGGTCCTGAGGGCGTTCTAGTGGTAGGCCAGGTGGCAGGTCGTTCGGAAGAATATATGGGAACTGATGAATCAGTTTTGCCAGTTCTTCGGGGACCGTTGCATAGAGCTTATCGATGTCGGCCGGTTGATCGTCGTCCGTTGATTCCTTCAGACGGGCAGCGTATAATTCCGTGCCTTTCTTGATCGCGCGTGTCAGCGTGATTGATGCGTGTCGTTATCGACTCTGCTCCTCGCCATTTGGGCAGTATCTACCGACCATTCACACACTTGATTGTGCACTCGCCTGTCGTCCAATCGATCTGCGGGTTGTGTCGCCAAAGCCAATATCATCCCAGCAGCACATCGTAGCCGTCGAGTGTTGTCGCCAGCATTGGCGCGCTGAAACCAATATTTTCACCACACTTAATGAGAACAGTTCGCACTCGATCGCGTATCGCCAGCGGGGTGCCGTCGACCAATCGGGCATCGATCTCGGGCAGGCACCGCTCTAGGGGTAAGTCTATATTTTTCGCCGTCGATCGGTGAATCAGGCTGTGGCTCACGCCACCATCGATGAAGATTTTCATTTTTTTTGCCGTTAACCCTTCCTTCTACCAGCACAGGGTGATCTTCAGGTTCATCCCCGTTATTCGTCCGAGAGCGGTCGATAGCGTGTACCAGTACCACTACCCGATGGAGATGCTATTTCTCGGGCGATGCAGCCGTGTCAGTAAGGGGGCCCGTCTGCTACTGACGAGAGTCGTTTCCTGGCCTATCCGCATCGTTGTTTTTCCTCTGCTTTCGGTCAGGGCATTCAGCATATCGGTGACCCGGCTGCTGGCAATTAAAGCACTGTTCCTTTCTGCGATCTTCGTCGTTCGCCACAATGCCGTTGATCGAGGGCCTTTGATCCTGGCCACGAAAACGATTCCCCTCCCGGGAACCCGATCTCGCATATTTTTTATTGGCGTCGTACAGGTCGGTGATCACCACTGCTTCTTGGAACGTCGTTGGATGTCGCATCCTCACTTCGTAGCGAACGTCATATTTGAGTCAAACGATGAACCGGTTCTTTTTCTCGGCTTCGGATAGGTCGGTGATTTGGTCGCACAGTGCCTGAAATGATGACGCGTAATCCTGGACAGAGGTCAGCTGGCGCCAGGTCCAGCTTCGTGTGTGCGTTATCTGAGGCGGATATGGGCTCGAACCGTTCACGCAGAGCTGTACCCCACGCTTTCCACGTGCGAATCGAAGTCGATCCGAAATTTGACATTGCATCCCGGGCAACAGATTCCGAACTCCCGAAAACCTTTTGAGTGTTCTCTGCCGAAGTCCCTGTCCCACTTAGCGTCGATCGCCACCAATCCAGTGCAGGTCCCCTCAATAGTGAAATAACCAGTTTGATTTTTAAATCATCAATAATAATTCCGACGACAGTGAAATAAAGCTTCATCATCATGGTGGTGCTTTTGCCTATGGGGTTAAACGGGGGCGGCATCGGCGGCTTTATCTTGGCCACTGGTACAATTGGTGTGGCTGCGGCTGCTGCTTCAAAGCGGGCGACGGCCGTTGCCGCCGCTGCTGCAGCTGCCGTGGCGCGTGCGGCTGCATTCGTTGCTGCTGCTGCTTCATCATCATGGCGGTCCTGCGACACTTCACGTGCGATTTCGTCCAAGACTGTTTCGACACGTCCCGTGCTGGCGGCGTCCTCGGGGGCGGGCGACTTCTGGCACGTAGTCTCTTGTGCCTGGCGAAGTTCGGTAACTTCGGCGCGAAGTTTGTCGTTGTCGTCTAGCACAGCTGTCAGGCGAGCCTTCGTGGCAGCGAATTTTGCCAGCAACTCATCGAACTGTGCCTGGTCCATGTGGTGGACACTACACCGAGTGGGCAGAGGAATATCCGTGATTACCTGTGCTCAGGTAAGAGCGCAAACGCTATCGTAGTCGGGGGAATTAATTCGTCTGATTCGCGGCCGACCGCTTTGCAGCTCAGTGAGCGAATCACTCCCCCCCCCTGAAAAAAGGTTTTCCGCCTACGGAAGCGGGCAGGTTAAGCAAGTAGCTCAGTATACCAGATGTTATGTGTGTTTAATCAGAGTAGCGCGGAATCGAATGTCGAGCTTCAGAATCACAAAATGTCGTACAATGGAATGAAGAGGCAAGATATAGGAACACCAGAGCAATCCTTGCCGCGTGATCGAACAGGTTCGGCATCCGAGGACGCGGAGCGCTTCGGAGTGACGCGGAAAGGTTCGGTGCGGTGTTCGGGCCGAAGCTAGGGCAGATGTCGGTGCCATGTGGGTTTGATGTACGCGGTAGCGGTGTGGCGCGCTAAGGAATGGAAATTCCATACAAAATCGTCGACCCTTGCTTTGTTTTGGGCTTTAAGGAGATCCCAGAGGTTTCGGGGGTGTCGGATGTCAGATTAGCTTATTTTGATGTCTGACACCCCCCTAGGATTTTTTCGAGGCGCCCTTTTTAGGTGTTGAACGCAACTCACGCCCCCCATTAGTTCGCCACACCATTCACTCCTCTCTCGGTTCTCGTGAAATCGCCGAGCTTCTTTGCCGCACCACACTATCCTCTCCGCTCTCCACTCGTTGCTCCGCTCTCCGCTCTCCCGTCTTCCTTCCCCTCGCCACTCCCGTCGCCCTTCCCACGCCCGTCGCCCGTCCCCCTCCCGTGGTAACACATCCGCTGCGACCGTCGGCGTGTGTGATTCGCAAGTAACATTCAATCTCTCTGCCGTGACTTCCATCCGACCTATCCGCTCTCGGCTCTCTGCTCTCTATCGCACCCAACTTCGCCAGCTCTCACTATTTCCGCCCCTAACCCGACCCCCAGTGCCTCTTCCCGCTACCCCTGGAAACCCGAGGTCCCCTGAAACAGCCCAAACCCGCCGTTTCCAGCCGTGTCCGCCATTTTCTATCCGCGTCGATGCTCACCGCTCGATGCGCCCCTTTGATGGCCAAATGCGAGGCACTTTCCGAGCCGGGAAAATGGCCAAGTCCCTGAAGCCCCGGATCCAGCGGTTTCGCGCTCTTCTCATTGGGCCGCAGCAGCCTGCGTTTCGCGAAAGCTGAGTGCACTGGTTCGTGATGGCGAACGCTGACGTGGCGCAGCTATGCAAGAAGGTGGAGCAGCTGGAGGCGGCGGCGCACGAGGTGGGGCGGAAATAGCAAGCTTGGCAGCGCAAGAAACTGCAGGGCCTCGGGCGGTTGAAGCGTGCGCGCATTTCTTCCAAGTTGTTGAACTCTTGCTTGGAATGAGTGGCCTTTGGGGTGGCCCAATCCCACTCACCTCCTCTCCCCCGACTCCCATATCCTCCCTTCCCCTCAGGCGCGAGCGGAAGCGCAGGCAAAGGCGCAGATGGCGGAAGGGCTGCAGAAGAGCCTGGTAGGTTGTGGCAGGGGATGCTATCTATGCGTGGGCGGACGTGCATGGGCCAATTGACTCGTGCCTCTTGTGCGGGCAGTGAGCATGCTCTCCTCACTCCTCTTCCTCCTCTCTCCAGCCCATATGATGCCAAAAACCCAACCCACTCCTGGAATCGCCACAACTCTTCCCCCTCGCGTCTGCCTGTATCCCCCCCCTGGTGCGTCGTAGGCGGCGGCGGAGGAGGAGAACAGCGAGCTGCAGGCAGGGTGGGCGGAGCTGAGCCGCCAGCGAATGGAGGCGGACGAGGCGGCTGAGAAGCTCAGGAAGGAAACGGTGTGGGCGACAGGGGGGTGGGGAAGGGGGGATGTGGCGCTGGGAAGCATGGGACACTGAGGGAGTTGGAGGTGGGGGGAAGGGGGGGGGGGACCCAGGGATGGGGAGGAGAGCAGGAGGGGTATGACGGCAAGGCCATCGCGCGTGATACTGCGTCCACTCCTCCTCGCTCCTGCATCGGCAACACATTCCTCACTCTCCCTCTCTCACCACCCAAAGTTCTCCACCATATCCCTCCTATCTCCCTGTCGCCCTTCTTTCGCCTTTCAATGTCTCTCTCGCTTCCCACCTTTCCCTCGTCACCTACCCTCACTTGCGCTCCCTCTTCGTCCTCCCTCCCGCTTTCTCTCCATCTCTCTCTCATGCACCCCCCTCTCTCCCCCCCTCCTCCCACCCCCCCTCTTCGCACAGGCGCGGTTGGAGAGGGAGGTGGAGGGGCGGCACATGGAGGCGGTGCGGCTGCGAGCGGAGGTGGAGGAGGGGCGGCGCGCGCTGGAGGAGAGCAAGAAGGCGGCAGTCATGGCGGCGAGAGAGCGCAAGGCGCGCGAGCTGGAGTGGGTGTCGCAGATCAGCCGCCTGCAGTCCGCCGCGCAGACATCCTCCATGGCCAAGCTGCAGCTCGTCGCTGAGGTCAGCATGTGTGTGTGTGCGCGTGCGCGTAGTGTTTGGGGGGGGGGGGGGAAGAATGGGTGGTAGGTGCTGCGTGGCGTGGGCGTGCACATACGGGTGTGTGTCGTGTCCTGTGTGTGTGTGCCGACTAGTGTGCATGTAGGGGTGTGCTTGTTCACATTAAGGGGGCGGCTGGGGTGGTGGGAGTGGCGTGTGTGCATGCATGTGTATGCAGTCATGTGTTGTCTGTACGTAGTTGCACATGTGTGCATGCAAGTCAAGGACGAGACTTTGCCTCCTCTCCTCCTTACACCGTGCCTGCAACCCTTGCCCCAACGCACAACCCCCATGCTTGTGTGTGTGTGTGTGTGGATTGCAGTCAGCGAGCAGCAAGCAGAGGTGCGAACGGTTGGAGGAGGAGAAGAGGGCGGTGGAGCGGCAGAGGGAGCGCCTGGAGGAGGAGAAGCGCGCGCTGCAGCAGCAGCTCAAGGCCGCGCAGGTGCACTGGGGAGGCCACGAGGAGGGAATGCGGGCGTGGGAAAAGCGTTTGCTGCATGCCAAGGGTGCATGGCGTTGGAGGGTGTGTGAGGTCAGCTGATATGAATGCGAGTCACTGCCATCTATGGCCGGCGCATGGCACCCCTTCGTCAGGTGGCAGTCCCATTGCCCATTGAGAGACCAACGCATAACTTAGCTGCTGGGAAGATCATTACTTGTGTATGCACACAGCCTATCTCACCTCGCTATGTGTTTTCCCCGCTGTTTGCCATGTGGCATGTGGAATGGGGCATGTGGCCTGTGGCATGTGGCATGTGGCATGTGCCGTGTGGCATGTGGCATGTGGCATGTGCCGTGTGGCATGTGTGCATGTGGCATGTGGCTGGGGCACGTGGCATGTGGCGTGTGCCATGTGCCGTGTGGCATGTGGCATGTGGCTGGGGCACGTGGCATGTGGCGTGTGCCATGTGCCGTGTGGCATGTGGCATGTGGCATGTGCTGTGTGGTGGCATGTGGCATGTGGCATGTGGCATGTGCCGTGTGGCATGTGGCATGTGGCATGTGGCTGGGGCATGTGGCGTGTGGCGTGTGGCATGTGGCATGTGGCATGTGGCATGTGCCGTGTGCCGTGTGCCGTGTGGCATGTGGCATGTGGCATGTGCCGTGTGGCATGTGGCATGTGGCATGTGGCATGTGCCGTGTGGCATCTGTGCAGTGCATGTGGCATGTGCTGTGTGGCATGTCACATGTGTGCATGTGGCATGTGGCATGTCGCATGTTGCATGTGGCATGTCGCATGTTGCATGTGGCATGTGGCGTGTGGCATGTGACATGTGGCATGTGACATGTGGTATGTGCCATGTGGCATGTGGCACGTGGCATGTCGCATGTCGCATGTGGCATGTTGCATGTGGCATGTTGCATGTGGCATGTGGCATGTGCCATGTGGTATGTGGCACGTGGCATGTCGCATGTCGCATGTCGCATGTGACATGTGGCATGTCGCATGTGGCATGGGGCATGTGGCATGTGCAGGAGCAAGCTGCAACTCCCGCGGGTGGATCCGCGGCAACGGAAGAGGCACTGCAGAAGGCACTGGCGGACCTGGTGAGTGGCGCGGGCATGGAGAGAGGGCGTGTGCCATCCTCGTCGCAGAGACCTCTTGCCATGGAGGCCGTGCGCCACCCACCCTACCTGCTCCCTGTATCCCCCCTCCCCCCCTGCTCATAGCACCTCCATGCCCACAGCAACCCACACGCCCTCTTCACACCCGCTTCCCTGCGTGCCGGCAGGCGGCGCTGCAGAAAGTGGTGCAGGAGGAGCGGCAGGCGGGCGAGGAGGCGGCGGCGCAGTGCGCGCAGGTGGAGGAGCAGTGCCGCGCGCTGGAGGAGCAGCTCGCGCACGCGCAGGCCAAGCTCCAGGAGGCCCGCGACGCCGCTCAGGCGAATGGCGGCCCTGATGGCGCCATGCTGGCGGTGAGGCAGAGGGGCCTGCTGGCGGGGTGATGTGGTGGCCAGGGGGGAAGGGGAGAGAGGTAGGATGCGTGCGCTGGGATGGTGGAGATGACGGCATGCACCAGCATGGTCCTGCACTCTCTTTCAGGGGTGCATGCACCTGAGCATATGTGCGTGCGCGTGTGTCTAGTCCTGCCTAACTCCCTCCTCTCTTCTATTCCCCCCCGCCTGCCCTGCTCTCCTGCAAGGTGCTGAACCTCCCTGAGAGTGACGCCAGAATGCAGCTCGTGGAGGCGCTGGCCACTCTTGAGCAGGAGAGGAAACAGGTGCTTCCGCATGTCCTCACCGTCTTGTTGCCGCATGTCCTCACCGTCTTGTTGCCGCATGTCCTCACCTTCTTGTTTTTGCCCACTTGCTCTCGCCCTCTCGCTCTCGTCCCCCTGCTTTCAGACTTCACTCTTACGCATTCCTTATGCACATTCTGCGCCACCCTCCCTCCCTCCGCCTCACCATCCCTGTGTTGTGTGTGGCATGCCTCACCATCCCTGTGTTGTGTGTGGCATGCGTGCAGTCGAGCTCATGCCGCATGCAGCAGATCGAGCTCAGAATCAAGGCCAAGAAGCTCCAGGTGACCATTCCTGCCCGCGCCCTCATGCCTTGCACCCGCGCTGCTCGAATGCCCCCATCTATCATCTCTTGCAACCACCCCTCTCACTGCATTTCCCGCTTTTTTTCCAGACACGTCCTCTCCATCCGCCCTCCCTCCATCCGCCCTCGCTCCATCCGCCCTCCCTCCATCCGCCCTCCCTCCATCCGCCCTCCCTCCATCCGCCCTCCCTCCATCCGCCCTCCCTCCATGCGCCGTCGCTCCATGTCGTGCCGCATTGTTGTGGTTGTGGGCGTGCGCGGGGCGTCAGGACGAGCTGCGGTCGCTGGACGTGGCGGCGCTGAAGCAGGAGATGGCACGCCTCAGGGATGACCTCGCGCACGCCAAGGCGCTGCTCGACAAGGTTGGTGCCTGCGTGGGGGAGCAGAGGGCCGCATGGGGGAGCAGAGGGCCGCGTGGGGGAGCAGAGGGCCGCGTGGGGGAGCAGAGGGCCGCGTGGGGGAGCAGAGGGCTGCATGGGGGAGCAAAGGGCCGCATGGGGGAGCAGAGGGCCGCATGGGGGAGCAGAGGGCTGCATGGGGGAGCAAAGGGCCGCATGGGGGAGCAGAGGGCCGCATGGGGGAGCAGAGGGCCGGCATGGGGATCAGGGGAGGGCGAGGTGGTTGGGGAGGGGAGGGGAATGGGGTTTGATGGTTGTGGTTGTGGAGAGTACTTGGGTTTAAGGTGAAGTGGTGGGACCAACGGACGTGATGATGTGAGAGTGCTGTGAGCACGGGAAGATGGGAAGGGAGGTGGGGCGATTGTCGGTGCATCGCTTGCTGAAGACTCCATTGCTGGTCTGCCGCCATCATCTTGCCAGCCACACTGGTTTTGCTTCTTTCTCCTGTGCCATGTGCTTCTTGGTTGCTCGTGAGGACAGGCGGAGGAGGAGAAGGAGGAGCTGCTAGGGCGAATCAAGGTACGCACACCCAGCGCCCTCTCTGCCTTTCCTTCCGTGCTTGGCACTGTACCTTTACGAGGCTTTACGTTCATGCAACTTTACATGGTAAACTTACGTTTACTTACATTAGGCCGAAAGGGCTGTACGTTTATGGGCAGCACTAAAAAAGTCCGAGCTGCCCAAAATCATGCAATCTTGTTCTTTTGGGGTATGCACAAACCACAGCAATGGCAACTAGGCTTGAGCAACGGGTCGGGTCGGGTCGGGTAACCCGACCCGAACCCGACTTTTTGATGGGTCGGGTCGACATTTGCGGAGGGTCGACCCGACCCTCGGGTACCTGACCCGACCCGACCCGACCCGACCGACAAAACCCGACCCGTCAGGTTAGCTTATTACCCGTCCCTGCCCCTATGCCAACCCAACCCGACCCGACCCGACCCGAAATCGGGTCAGGTAGCACCCGACCTATTAAACCCGGGTCGGGTTGACATTTCCTGAACTCCGACCCGACTTGACCTGACCCGACCCAACCCGAACCCGACATCGGGTAGGGCAAAGTCGGGTCGGGTCTGGTCGGGTCGGGTTCATGCTCAAGCCTAATGGCAACTGGCGCAGTGTGGGGTGACCCATTCCCTGGGTCTGGAAGTCCAGAATCCTGTCCTGCCTTGCACTTCTCCACATTACCTGCCTGGCTCTGGCTCTGGAGACATGACACGTGGCGCATGACACGTGCCGCATGACACAACATACGTGGCACATGGCGCATGGTGCATGGCACATAACGCATGGCATGGCATGGCAGGAGGCGGAGGCGGTGGGCAACAGTGCGATGCAGGCGGAGGTGGAGCACGTGCGGGGGGAGAACAGTGTGCTGTTGCAGCAGCTCGTGAGGGCCATTGGGGGGATGGCACGGTGGGAGGGAATGGGGAGGAATGGTGAGGGGGGACGGTTGGAGGGAATGGGGAGGGAGGAATGCAAGGGTGGTGAGAGGTGGGTTATGCCCAGCCCAGGCATTCAGAGGCTGCACTGCTTGTTGCACCAACTCATCTGCGCCGCACCTCACTCAATCCCACCCACTCCTCACACTCTCTCCCATGTCTGTGCTCGCCATCCCCCCGCACGCCCGTGCTGCCCGGCAGGACATGCTGGCGCGGCAGTTCGACGAGGAGAAGAACCTCATCCACGCCCACATGGCGCAGGTGCCCTCCCGCCCTGCCCACCCGCCCTGCCCACCCGCCCTGCCCACCCGCCCTGCCCACCCGGTCTGCCCACCCACCCTGCCCACCCGCCCTGCCTACCCGCCCTGCCCGCTCCATCTTCTCCGCTCTCTATGCCCCTCGATCTTCCCTGTTCACCCCCCTCATGCCGCCCTGCCAATGCTTGTCTCGCCTTGCACACACACCTTCTGTCATACGACCACGTTACACACACATTTTTCGTTCTGATTCATTCGGTCTTTATCTCATCTCATTTGACTTCCTATTCCTCATTCTCTCATTATCATTTGTCTTATCCATTTATTATAGTATATTGCACCGACCGAGCTTGGAATGTACTGGCGTGCTACATCTAGCGCAATCCTATGTTGCCATAAACGCGTTTGGCGAGTATACGCTAGCGTTTATACGCTAGACGCTTGGACTCGGGCTTTTATACGCTAGGTATACGCTAGCCTGTGCAGGCTAAAATGTTTACCCAAGCAGGGTTAAAAAAAAGCCTACAATCGACATTCTGCGTTACTCCTACCTCCTTACCAAAAAGCCTGAAGTATTTGAACACCTAGTGTGTACTATCATATCAGGTTTGTATGTCGTCGACGATGTGGACACAATAGCCTTGCGCACCCGCATCGCTAGAAGCGGTCGACATTATCGTAGTAAGATAACTTAATTAACAACGCGACGGGTAGACTAGGAGGTGGAGTGGCTGGGAGAATTGCGTTGACTACGTGGCGGCATTTCTAGGTTTGACGCGAATGACGGGAGGGGGAGGGAGAGAGAGGAGAAAGGAAGATTTGTGGGTGAAGGATGGGTTTTCTAGGTGTAGGGGATTTCAGCGCGGTGACGAGGAGGGAAATTTGTTGGAACCCACTTTGACCTCCCTGGTTGGGTTTCGCGACTGGGCAATTGTGTCGATGAATTCGCCATGTCAAGAAATTGCAGAAAAAAAACTCCCAATTTTTTTGTTGGGCTGCCCTACAATTTCTACCCGAGCGTTATCTGCCTGCGTTTAGCGTCTGCCTATACACGCTAGACGCTCCCCTAAAGAGGCGTTTATGGCAACAGAGGCGCAATCCTGCCGTAATATCTTAAAGCGGATAGCCTCGCATGGCGATACGCAGCTTCCATACAGCATTCCCTCGCACACACACCTCCATGCAGCATCCCCTCGCACACACACCTCCATGCAGCATCCCACACGCCCTCTATCTTCCTTCACCTGCGCAGCCGTGCCACCATCAAGCCCCCTGTCCCTTCCCCCTCTACTCGCCACCCTCCTCTCCACCTCTCTCGCCCTCCCTCCCTCCTTCCCTGCTCCCCCCCCCCCCCCCCTGGCGTGGCCGGCGGCAGAAGGAGGAGGAGGTGGCGGACATGCGGCTGCGCGTGGCGGACGAGCGGCAGGAGCGGGAGGAGGCGGAGCGGCGGGTGGAGGAGAGCGAGCGGCGGCGGCAGGCGCTGCAGGCAGAGGTGGAGGCGCTGGAGCAGCAGGCGTTCAAGATGCGCCACACCATGGTGCACATGCAGCGCCAAATCACCGAGGTTGGGAGGGGTGGGCTGGGAGGGGGTAGGGGTTCTTACCACCAAAGATGGTGTGGGGTAGGGCTGTGAGTAGGTGAACAGCGAGAGTGTGCAGGTGGGGTGGGGACGAGAGCTGTATTCAATGGCGAGCATCATCGCAGGAAAATCCCCCCTTCTCTGCGTCCCACTTCAGCTTGCTCCGGCGTGTGCTCCATCCTTGCATCGACCCCCCCCCCCCTCCCCACCGGTCCCCGTGTGTTGCCCCCTGGCAGGCGGAGCACTCGTCGAGCCGGCTGTACCTGGAGTCGCTGGAAGCGCAGCGCAGCAAGGTGGCGCAGCTGGAGCAGCAGCTGGCGGACAAGGCGCATGTGGAGCAGCAGGTGCTGCAGCTGCAGGCAGCCATGGCGGGCGCTGAGTCGCACATGAAAGACAGCGAGGCCCAGGTGGGTGGGTGGGAGGAGCAGGGGCTCGCCCTGCATGTGTGCTTGCTCATGTCGGTGCGCGCCCATTGCCCATCATCTCCTTGGATGCCACACATACCCCCAAGGATTTTGAATGCAACCTTCACCCCCCTCCCCCCGCCCCAACCGTATGTGCAGCTTGCAGCGCAAGTGGCGTTGCACAAGGCAGCCAACGAGTCACTGCAGCAACAGCTGGTCAGCAGTCTGCTCTGCCACTCAGGGGCTCGTCTCTCCCGCCTTCTCCTGCCTATTCCCATATGCGCCATACCCATGCTTCTTCTTATCTTTGCCCCGCCAACCCCTTTGGTGATGTGCTCCTCACCCCGTTCCCTCATGTGCTGCTCACCCCGTCTATGTTGGAAAATGCGCGTATTGCGTTTTATACGCTAGCGTATATACGCTTGGGTTTGGGGTACAATACGGCAGGAATACGGCTGCTTGGGCAGCGGAAATTTTTTGCCCGGGCAGGCTAAGAAAAACCGGCGGGCAGCCGGGAGAGGGGGGGTGGGGGCCCGGGGTGGGGGGGGGGGGGGCAGGGCATCAAGTTTTTTTTTTTTTTCTTCTCCATTAAAATAACTTAACACAGGCATTTGTCACATCAAGAGCTTAGTGCTAGCCCCTGCCACTGCTAGCACTGCTGCTACTACTTCTACAGCTGCTGCAGCCACTCTTGCCGCTGCTGCTGCTGACTGGTCCACTGCTGCTGCTGTTACTCCCACTGCTGCAGCTGCATGCCCCCCTGGTGCTGCCGCTCCCACTCCCCTTGCAGCTGCGTCTGGTGACGGGTCTACTGGTACTCGTCCTCCATGACGAGATCCTCCCCCTCCTCCTCCTCCAGGTCGTCCTCCAGGTTGTACCCCGTGGGCACAGGGGCCTCGGAGCTGCACCCAGGAAGGACCAAGGACCCCCTGTCACCCTTGTGCCAGTTGTGGACCTGGTGCCAGTTGTGGGACACATAGACCAGGTCCCGACACTTTTCGGCACCGAGGCGGTTGCGCTTGGCAGTGTGGACCGCGTCCCACACTGCCCAATTACGCTCGCATGCGGCCGCTGAAACGGGCTGTGAGAGCACACGACAGGCCAGAGCGGCAAGCTCAGGGTAGTCGGACCCATGCCACTGCCACCACCGCGCCATGCTCTGCCTTCCCTCCTTCACTGCTGCACGATCAGCAATGGCGGTAGGGAGCCCGAAGCTGCCCTTCAGAGTGATGAAGGCGTCGAGGCCTTCCTGCATCACGAGGGTTGCACGAATGGGTTCGCCATCCCTCATGAACTCCTTGTCTTCGTAGTGGCGGGCGATGAAGGCTTTGAATACCCTCGTGCACTCCATGTCCGAGGGGAAGATCCCCTCTTCCTGATTGGCCGGGTTCAGGATGCGGCCAACCACATGGAGGGGGCACGCCATGCTGCCGTCCCACCTCCTTTTCACCACGCGGTGGATGGCATTGGCGTCCGCAGCGGTGAGCCCCTCCAGCCGCGCCTCCTCCAGCTTCTCATCGACATCAACGGTAAGCTGCAGCATGAGGTCGTACATACGACCCATCATGCCCTTCGCCGACGAGTCGATGGCGCGCATTGCCATGAACGGCAGCCGCATGAGGTTGACAAACTGCAGGGCCTTGGTCCACCAGTCGGAGTCGAGTATGGCAGCGCTGAACGCCTCGCTGCCCGGCTTCCTCCCCCCAGCCGCGAACGTGGCCCACTCCTCACTCAGCTTGTGCTGAGTGAGGGACATCCGCACCTCGCACAGCCGGGACACGGAGATGAACTGGGTGCCGAAACGCGTGCCCGCCGGTTTCAGCACCTGTTTCCCCTTGCCCCCCTCCACCTTATTGCTCAGCATGTAGTTGCGGGTGAGGTGGTGCTTGCAGACGAAGGAGGTGATGATGGTGGCCTTCTCCACCACCTCCTTCGCCCAGCCCATCCTCCCAATGTCCTCCATGAGGAGGTCGAGCACGAGCGTGGCGCATGGCACGTGCTCGATGTGGGGGTGCTCGGCGATCAGGATCCCGCAGGCCGCGGCGTAGTTCGAGCCGCTATCCATGCAGAATGCGACGATGTTCTCCGGCCCAACGCGCTGGAGAATAGGGCGGAGAATACCGCAATATAGCCGTCGGTCTTCATCTCCATGTTCGTGTCCACAGCATGAGTAAAAACGGCTCCGGAGTCGTTGATAAGGAGGACATTGGCGATGGGCCGGCTGTTCTGGTCCGTCATCATATCTCTAGCAATGGTGACGCCGCTCCGCCGCCAGCTGCTGGAGATGGGAACCAGCGCGGCCTCGATACTGGTGCGGCAGTCGCGCAGCCCGGCACCGCCGATGTACTTGCGCTTCGGGGGAACGTAAGAAGTGCCGGCGCGAGCGATGGCGGAAACCGCATTCCGGAAGAGGACGTGGTCCGCGTGATGCTCCGGCAGGCGCAGACTAGTGAAGAGGAGGCAGAGCGCCCGGTCCGCTTCCTTCTTACGGCAGGTGGCCTCGTCACCGAAAAAATTGGTGATACGCCCCTTTTTGCCGCTGCCGCAGCCGTTAACCGCGGTCAGCGCTTGCTCCTCCGCCTCGCGCTTCCCCTCCCGCACCCTAATCCGTGCCTCGTACAGCGCCTTAACTCCGTCGCGCACGTCTTGCGTCACCGCGGTGCAGAGGGTCACATCGCGACGACGAAGTTTGTTCCACTCGGCGAGGTGCTGCGCGCAACGCGTCATCCCGCCATTGAAGGTGTGCCCGCAAAAACAGCAGCGGCGGTTTTCCGTAGTCTTGCCGTCCGCGTTAAGCACGGTTTCGAAATGCTTAAAAATGGGATGCGACGCATCCGTAACGTAAACAGTGCCGGAGGAAGAGGAAGCATGGCCATCGTTAGTAGGTGCAGGCACGCTCGCGGGGGTTGATGGGGTGGACGACGCCATGACCACTACGGTGAAGTAAGAGTGGAACTGAGCTAAGCTAAGCTAGGGGAGGGAGAGGTTGGAGTTGGAAAATGAAAGGAGATGGTGATTCAGATCTAAAATATGGCGGGAATGGGGGACGACAAATACGGGATGCCTTCCCTCCACGTCCACAGCTGGTGAGGGGTGGGCGAAAATCCACGGGCAAAACTTTCGGAGAGTTCGTGACGTCGCAAACTCGGCAAAAAAAATTGAATTCTCTGTTTTTTTTTGCCGGGCAGCCCCGATATTGCGTATCGCGTATTCCAAGCGTATCAGCGTATTGCGTATATTCGCAAGCATATATACGCAATACGCAAAGCTTGCTGTGCGTTTTTTCCAGCATAGCACCCCGTTCCCTCATGTGCTGCTCACCCCGCTCCCTCATGGTGCGCGAGCAGGAGGAGACACGGTCGCACCAGCTGACATGGGAGCGCGATCGATCCTCGCTGCTGCAAGCCGTCAGCAAGGTACTCACCAGCTCATGCTGCCATCAGCAAGGTACTCACCAGCTCATGCTGCCGTCAGCAAGGTACTCACCAGCTCATGCTGCCATCAGCAAGGTACTCACCAGCTCATGCTGCCATCAGCAAGGTGCTCACCAGCTCATGCTGCCATCAGCAAGGTACTCACCAGCTCATGCTGCCATCAGCAAGGTACTCACCAGCTCATGCTGCCATCAGCAAGGTACGCACCAGGTCATGCTGCCATCAGCAAGGTGCTCACCAGCTCATGCTGCCATCAGCAAGGGACTCACCAGCTCATGCTGCCATCAGCAACGTGCTCACCAGCTCATGCTGCCATCAGCAAGGTACTCACCAGCTCATGCTGCCATCAGCACCCCCTCATGCTGCCATCAGCAAGGTACTCACCAGCTCATGCTGCCATCAGCAAGGTACTCACCAGCTCATGCTGCCATCAGCAAGGTACTCACCAGCTCATGCTGCCATCAGCAAGGTACTCACCAGCTCATGCTGCCATCAGCAAGGTGCTCACCAGCTCATGCTGCCATCAGCAAGGTACTCACCAGCTCATGCTGCCGTCAGCAAGGTACTCACCAGCTCATGCTGCCATCAGCAAGGTACTCACCAGCTCATGCTGCCATCAGCAAGGTACTCACCAGCTCATGCTGCCATCAGCAAGGTACTCACCAGCTCATGCTGCCATCAGCAAGGTACTCACCAGCTCATGCTGCCATCAGCAAGGTACTCACCAGCTCATGCTGCCATCAGCAAGGTACTCACCAGCTCATGCTGCCGTCAGCAAGGTACTCACCAGCTCATGCTGCCGATCAGCAAGGTACTCACCAGCTCATGCCTCAGCAGGTACCAGCTCATGCTGCCATCAGCAAGGTACTCACCAGCTCATGCTGCCATCAGCAAGGTGCTCACCAGCTCATGCTGCCATCAGCAAGGTACTCACCAGCTCATGCTGCCGTCAGCAAGGTACTCACCAGCTCATGCTGCCATCAGCAAGGTACTCACCAGCTCATGCTGCCGTCAGCAAGGTACTCACCAGCTCATGCTGCCATCAGCAAGGTGCTCACCAGCTCATGCTGCCATCAGCAAGGTACTCACCAGCTCATGCTGCCGTCAGCAAGGTACTCACCAGCTCATGCTGCCATCAGCAAGGTACTCACCAGCTCATGCTGCCATCAGCAAGGTACTCACCAGCTCATGCTGCCATCAGCAAGGTACTCACCAGCTCATGCTGCCATCAGCAAGGTACTCACCAGCTCATGCTGCCATCAGCAAGGTACTCACCAGCTCATGCTGCCATCAGCAAGGTACTCACCAGCTCATGCTGCCGTCAGCAAGGTACTCACCAGCTCATGCTGCCATCAGCAAGGTGCTCACCAGCTCATGCTGCCATCAGCAAGGTACTCACCAGCTCATGCTGCCGTCAGCAAGGTACTCACCAGCTCATGCTGCCATCAGCAAGGTACTCACCAGCTCATGCTGCCATCAGCAAGGTACTCACCAGCTCATGCTGCCATCAGCAAGGTGACTCACCAGCTCATGCTGCCATCAGCAAGGTACTCACCAGCTCATGCTGCCATCAGCAAGGTACTCACCAGCTCATGCTGCCATCAGCAAGGTACTCACCAGCTCATGCTGCCATCAGCAAGGTCCCCCATGCTGCCATCAGCAAGGTCTCACCAGCTCATGCTGCCATCAGCAAGGTACTCACCAGCTCATGCTGCCATCAGCAAGGTACTCACCAGCTCATGCTGCCATCAGCAAGGTACTCACCAGCTCATGCTGCCATCAGCAAGGTACTCACCAGCTCATGCTGCCATCAGCAAGGTACTCACCAGCTCATGCTGCCATCAGCAAGGTACTCACCAGCTCATGCTGCCATCAGCAAGGTACTCACCAGCTCATGCTGCCATCAGCAAGGTACTCACCAGCTCATGCTGCCATCAGCAAGGTACTCACCAGCTCATGCTGCCATCAGCAAGGTACTCACCAGCTCATGCTGCCATCAGCAAGGTACTCACCAGCTCATGCTGCCATCAGCAAGGTACTCACCAGCTCATGCTGCCATCAGCAAGGTACTCACCAGCTCATGCTGCCATCAGCAAGGTGCTCACCAGCTCATGCTGCCATCAGCAAGGTACTCACCAGCTCATGCTGCCGTCAGCAAGGTACTCACCAGCTCATGCTGCCATCAGCAAGGTACTCACCAGCTCATGCTGCCATCAGCAAGGTACTCACCAGCTCATGCTGCCATCAGCAAGGTACTCACCAGCTCATGCTGCCATCAGCAAGGTACTCACCAGCTCATGCTGCCATCAGCAAGGTACTCACCAGCTCATGCTGCCATCAGCAAGGTACTCACCAGCTCATGCTGCCATCAGCAGGTCCACCAGCTCATGCTGCCATCAGCAAGGTACCACCAGCTCATGCTGCCTCAGCAAGGTACTCACCAGCTCATGCTGCCATCAGCAAGGTACTCACCAGCTCATGCTGCCGTCAGCAAGGTACTCACCAGCTCATGCTGCCATCAGCAAGGTGCTCACCAGCTCATGCTGCCATCAGCAAGGTACTCACCAGCTCATGCTGCCGTCAGCAAGGTACTCACCAGCTCATGCTGCCATCAGCAAGGTACTCACCAGCTCATGCTGCCATCAGCAAGGTACTCACCAGCTCATGCTGCTCACAGTCTCACCAGCTCATGCTGCCATCAGCAAGGTACTCACCAGCTCATGCTGCCATCAGCAAGGTACTCACCAGCTCATGCTGCCATCAGCAAGGTACTCACCAGCTCATGCTGCCATCAGCAAGGTACTCACCAGCTCATGCTGCCATCAGCAAGGTACTCACCAGCTCATGCTGCCATCAGCAAGGTACTCACCAGCTCATGCTGCCATCAGCAAGGTACTCACCAGCTCATGCTGCCATCAGCAAGGTACTCACCAGCTCATGCTGCCATCAGCAAGGTACTCACCAGCTCATGCTGCCATCAGCAAGGTACTCACCAGCTCATGCTGCCATCAGCAAGGTACTCACCAGCTCATGCTGCCATCAGCAAGGTACTCACCAGCTCATGCTGCCATCAGCAAGGTACTCACCAGCTCATGCTGCCATCAGCAAGGTACTCACCAGCTCATGCTGCCATCAGCAAGGTACTCACCAGCTCATGCTGCCATCAGCAAGGTACTCACCAGCTCATGCTGCCATCAGCAAGGTACTCACCAGCTCATGCTGCCATCAGCAAGGTACTCACCAGCTCATGCTGCCATCAGCAAGGTACTCACCAGCTCATGCTGCCATCAGCAAGGTACTCACCAGCTCATGCTGCCATCAGCAAGGTACTCACCAGCTCATGCTGCCTCAGCAGTCTCACCAGCTCATGCTGCCATCAGCAAGGTACTCACCAGCTCATGCTGCCATCAGCAAGGTACTCACCAGCTCATGCTGCCATCAGCAAGGTACTCACCAGCTCATGCTGCCATCAGCAAGGTACTCACCAGCTCATGCTGCCATCAGCAAGGTACTCACCAGCTCATGCTGCCATCAGCAAGGTACTCACCAGCTCATGCTGCCATCAGCAAGGTACTCACCAGCTCATGCTGCCATCAGCAAGGTACTCACCAGCTCATGCTGCCATCAGCAAGGTACTCACCAGCTCATGCTGCCGTCAGCAAGGTACTCACCAGCTCATGCTGCCATCAGCAAGGTACTCACCAGCTCATGCTGCCGTCAGCAAGGTACTCACCAGCTCATGCTGCCATCAGCAAGGTACTCACCAGCTCATGCTGCCATCAGCAAGGTACTCACCAGCTCATGCTGCCATCAGCAAGGTACTCACCAGCTCATGCTGCCATCAGCAAGGTACTCACCAGCTCATGCTGCCATCAGCAAGGTACTCACCAGCTCATGCTGCCATCAGCAAGGTACTCACCAGCTCATGCTGCCGTCAGCAAGGTACTCACCAGCTCATGCTGCCATCAGCAAGGTACTCACCAGCTCATGCTGCCATCAGCAAGGTACTCACCAGCTCATGCTGCCATCAGCAAGGTACTCACCAGCTCATGCTGCCATCAGCAAGGTACTCACCAGCTCATGCTGCCATCAGCAAGGTACTCACCAGCTCATGCTGCCATCAGCAAGGTACTCACCAGCTCATGCTGCCATCAGCAAGGTACTCACCAGCTCATGCTGCCATCAGCAAGGTACTCACCAGCTCATGCTGCCATCAGCAAGGTACTCACCAGCTCATGCTGCCATCAGCAAGGACTCACCAGCTCATGCTGCCATCAGCAAGGTACTCACCAGCTCATGCTGCCATCTGCAAGGGACTCACCAGCTCATGCTGCCATCAGCAAGGTACTCACCAGCTCATGCTGCCATCAGCAAGGTGCTCACCAGCTCATGCTGCCATCAGCAAGGTACTCACCAGCTCATGCTGCCATCAGCAAGGTACTCACCAGCTCATGCTGCCATCAGCAAGGTACGCACCAGGTCATGCTGCCATCAGCAAGGTGCTCACCAGCTCATGCTGCCATCAGCAAGGGACTCACCAGCTCATGCTGCCATCAGCAAGGTGCTCACCAGCTCATGCTGCCATCAGCAAGGTACTCACCAGCTCATGCTGCCATCAGCAAGGTACTCACCAGCTCATGCTGCCATCAGCAAGGGACTCACCAGCTCATGCTGCCATCAGCAAGGTACTCACCAGCTCATGCTGCCATCAGCAAGGTGCTCACCAGCTCATGCTGCCATCAGCAAGGTACTCACCAGCTCATGCTGCCATCAGCAAGGTACTCACCAGCTCATGCTGCCATCAGCAAGGTACTCACCAGCTCATGCTGCCATCAGCAAGGTGCTCACCAGCTCATGCTGCCATCAGCAAGGGACTCACCAGCTCATGCTGCCATCAGCAACGTGCTCACCAGCTCATGCTGCCATCAGCAAGGTACTCACCAGCTCATGCTGCCATCAGCAAGGTACTCACCAGCTCATGCTGCCATCAGCAAGGTACTCACCAGCTCATACTGCCATCAGCAAGGTACTCACCAGCTCATGCTGCCATCAGCAAGGTGCTCACCAGCTCATGCTGCCATCAGCAAGGTACTCACCAGCTCATGCTGCCGTCAGCAAGGTACTCACCAGCTCATGCTGCCATCAGCAGGGTGCTCACCAGCTCATGCCATGCTGCCATCAGCAAGGTACTCACCAGCTCATGCTGCCATCAGCAAGGTACTCACCAGCTCATGCTGCCATCAGCAAGGTGCTCACCAGCTCATGCTGCCATCAGCAAGGTACTCACCAGCTCATGCTGCCGTCAGCAAGGTACTCACCAGCTCATGCTGCCATCAGCAAGGTACTCACCAGCTCATGCTGCCGTCAGCAAGGTACTCACCAGCTCATGCTGCCATCAGCAAGGTGCTCACCAGCTCATGCTGCCATCAGCAAGGTACTCACCAGCTCATGCTGCCGTCAGCAAGGTACTCACCAGCTCATGCTGCCATCAGCAAGGTACTCACCAGCTCATGCTGCCGTCAGCAAGGTACTCACCAGCTCATGCTGCCATCAGCAGGGTGCTCACCAGCTCATGCTGCCATCAGCAAGGTACTCACCAGCTCATGCTGCCGTCAGCAAGGTACTCACCAGCTCATGCTGCCATCAGCAAGGTACTCACCAGCTCATGCTGCCATCAGCAAGGTACTCACCAGCTCATGCTGCCATCAGCAAGGTACTCACCAGCTCATGCTGCCATCAGCAAGGTACTCACCAACTCATGCTGCCATCAGCAAGGTACTCACCAGCTCATGCTGCCATCAGCAAGGTACTCACCAGCTCATGCTGCCATCAGCAAGGTGCTCACCAGCTCATGCTGCCATCAGCAAGGTACTCACCAGCTCATGCTGCCGTCAGCAAGGTACTCACCAGCTCATGCTGCCATCAGCAAGGTACTCACCAGCTCATGCTGCCGTCAGCAAGGTACTCACCAGCTCATGCTGCCGTCAGCAAGGTGCTCACCAGCTCATGCTGCCATCAGCAAGGTACTCACCAGCTCATGCTGCCATCAGCAAGGTACTCACCAGCTCATGCTGCCATCTGCAAGGGACTCACCAGCTCATGCTGCCATCAGCAAGGTACTCACCAGCTCATGCTGCCATCAGCAAGGTGCTCACCAGCTCATGCTGCCATCAGCAAGGTACTCACCAGCTCATGCTGCCGTCAGCAAGGTACTCACCAGCTCATGCTGCCATCAGCAAGGTGCTCACCAGCTCATGCTGCCATCAGCAAGGTACTCACCAGCTCATGCTGCCATCAGCAAGGTACTCACCAGCTCATGCTGCCATCAGCAAGGTGCTCACCAGCTCATGCTGCCATCAGCAAGGTACTCACCAGCTCATGCTGCCATCAGCAAGGTACGCACCAGCTCATGCTGCCATCAGCAAGGTACTCACCAGCTCATGCTGCCGTCAGCAAGGTACTCACCAGCTCATGCTGCCATCAGCAAGGTGCTCACCAGCTCATGCTGCCATCAGCAAGGTACTCACCAGCTCATGCTGCCGTCAGGAAGGTACTCACCAGCTCATGCTGCCATTAGCAAGGTACTCACCAGCTCATGCTGCCGTCAGCAAGGTACTCACCAGCTCATGCTGCCATCAGCAAGGTACTCACCAGCTCATGCTGCCATCAGCAAGGTACTCACCAGCTCATGCTGGCATCAGCAGGGTGCTCACCAGCTCATGCTGCCATCAGCAAGGTACTCACCAGCTCATGCTGCCATCAGCAAGGTACTCACCAGCTCATGCTGCCATCAGCAAGGTACTCACCAGCTCATGCTGCCATCAGCAAGGTGCTCACCAGCTCATGCTGCCATCAGCAAGGTACTCACCAGCTCATGCTGCCATCAGCAAGGTACTCACCAGCTCATGCTGCCATCAGCAAGGTACTCACCAGCTCATGCTGCCATCAGCAAGGTACTCACCAGCTCATGCTGCCATCAGCAAGGTACTCACCAGCTCATGCTGCCATCAGCAAGGTACTCACCAGCTCATGCTGGCATCAGCAGGGTGCTCACCAGCTCATGCTGCCATCAGCAAGGTACTCACCAGCTCATGCTGCCATCAGCAAGGTACTCACCAGCTCATGCTGCCATCAGCAAGGTACTCACCAGCTCATGCTGCCATCAGCAAGGTGCTCACCAGCTCATGCTGCCATCAGCAAGGTACTCACCAGCTCATGCTGCCATCAGCAAGGTACTCACCAACTCATGCTGCCATCAGCAAGGTACTCACCAGCTCATGCTGCCATCAGCAAGGTACTCACCAGCTCATGCTGCCATCAGCAAGGTGCTCACCAGCTCATGCTGCCATCAGCAAGGTACTCACCAGCTCATGCTTCCATCAGCAAGGTACTCACCAGTTCATGCTGCCATCAGCAAGGTACGCACCAGGTCATGCTGCCATCAGCAAGGTGCTCACCAGCTCATGCTGCCATCAGCAAGGGACTCACCAGCTCATGCTGCCATCAGCAAGGTACTCACCAGCTCATGCTGCCATCAGCAAGGTACGCACCAGGTCATGCTGCCATCAGCAAGGTGCTCACCAGCTCATGCTGCCATCAGCAAGGGACTCACCAGCTCATGCTGCCATCAGCAACGTGCTCACCAGCTCATGCTGCCATCAGCAAGGTACGCACCAGCTCATGCTGCCATCAGCAAGGTACTCACCAGCTCATGCTGCCGTCAGCAAGGTACTCACCAGCTCATGCTGCCATCAGCAAGGTGCTCACCAGCTCATGCTGCCATCAGCAAGGTACTCACCAGGTCATGCTGCCATCAGCAAGGTACTCACCAGCTCATGCTGCCATCAGCAAGGTGCTCACCAGCTCATGCTGCCATCTCTTGTGTGCACCCATCCATCCACCAGCCGTCCTCCATCCCTTGTGTGCACCCATCCATCCACCAGCCGTCCTCCATCCCTTGTGTGCACCCATCCATCCCCTCCATCATTTCGCGCTCCCCTTACCCCATCCTCCTGGGCAGGTGGGGGTGCGGGACCCGTGCAAGCCAACGCACGTGGTGCGGTTGCGGCAGAAGAGCACGTACACATGCGTGCAGTGCCTGCTGCTGGGCCACGGCATGGCGTGGAAGTGCACTGCCCGTGACTGCGGGGACTTCATGCACCCTGACTGCATGCTGCACCGCTAGCTGTCCCCCCACCCCCACCCACCTTCCTCCTTCCCCACATTCACGCACATCCAGACACTTAAAGCACATGCAGCACTTGTCCGACGTGCTGTGAGGCAGTAGAATTGTGGATTCATCGGAACTTATTGCTTTGCTGGCAGGCCTGACGTTTCAAGATAAGGCACTCTGAGCCAACCCCCAAAAAAAAAAACTGTCGAGAGACCTGCTGGGGTTGCCCTTCAGATCCTCGGGGAGGGGCTACAGGCCATCTCCCCGCTTGGGGAGTTGAGGGCAGGCCTGACGTTTCATAAAAACCCCCCGAGCTGTCGACTAAAAAAAAAAAAAAAAAACCCTGAGGGCTCAGTTTTAAAAAAATGCCTACCCTGATTTGTAAGTGTTCAGAAATCTGGAACCCTGAATATCCCAGGGTTCACTGTGAAATAAATCGTCTGGTGTTGTAGTAGACTAAGTATAGAACTAAAAACACGACCACTTGGCAAATCCTCAAGTGTTGGTCCAGGATCTTTGCTGGAATGGTAGACTAGTAAGACAGCGGAAGTCTTGTTAAATATAATGGTCAAGGTTGAATAACCTGAGTACGTGAACTTGTGGTAATCAAAGTTAATAATGAAAAAACCAAACAGAGATTTATAGTTCTACGAAAAGTACTTATTCGCTCATGTACATGTTCGTCACCATCGCGCGCTATGCGCCCTAGATGATAACGAAGGGGTGCGACTGTTCGCGTGACTGAAACGACTGTCCTATGACGAGCGCTATTTGCTGACGTCATTCTATGGACTTATCTTCTATAGTAGGATTCGACACTAACTACACATAATCGACTTACAGAAATGCTAAGTATTAATTATATCACAACACTCCCCTTCATTTCTGGAACGTCGATAGTGTCACATCTTGAAGATTCCGCAGAGCTTGTTACAGTACTGAAACTTTTGTCGTGTCAGCTTCTTCGTGAGAAAATCGGCAGCCATTTCGTTGGTCGAATAGTAGACCAATCGCATTCTCCCCTTCTTGACTTCATCTTTGACGAAAAAATATCGAAGCAAAATGTGCTTCGTCCTGTTGACGAAACCAGGTTGATGTGCAATGCGAATTGCACTTTGATTGTCGCACTGTAGGGTAAACTGGGTAGTTGTCGTCAATTTTGCTTCTTCCAATAGTTCCTGTAAGTAAAGTCCTTCGCGTGTTGCTGTGCAGACAGTAATAAACTCAGCTTCAGCAGAGGAGAGTGCAATCAGCTCCTGCTTCGTAGAATTCCAAGAGATAGGTCCGATAGGTTCTTGTCGATAAATAAACCCAGTGCGCGTCCGTCGATTAGTAGAATCAGCAGCGTGATCGGCGTCGACAAAACCGTGTAGATATAGTGTTTTACAACCGATGACGTTGTAGACTAATCCGACGTCAGGTGTCGAGATAAAATATTGAAGCGCACGGAGAATATCAAGCTGATGCTCCTCCTCAGGACGACATAGGAACTGTGCGAGCTGACTGGCCGCATAGGCTAGATCAGGACGACAAGTGACAGCGGCGAAAAGTAGACAGCCTAGCTGCTGTTGATAGATCTGTAAAACAGTTGAAGTTAACAGTGCGGTGTTTGGTTTGTGGTCAGTCGGTAGTGAGCGGTACGGTGTAGAAAGTGTAGTAGGTGTGAGGTTGAAGCGGGCAGCGAGTGTTGCTGCATACTTCGAAGCGGTGAGATGAATAGTTGTTGGTGAACAGGTAATGTTCAGTTCGAGAAACTGTGAGACTGTTTCAGAGACGGTAAGCAATAGATTTTTCTGTAATTTCAGTATGAAAATCTCGGCAAGGGAATCGGTAGTACTGACGTATAGGATGTCATCGACGTAGGCGACGAGTAAAATATAGTTGTTGCCGTCAGTCAGTAGATACATTCCTTGATCATGCGGTAGTTGACGAAAACCGGCAGCGATCAGTTGTGAGTGAAGATACTGCTGCCAGAGCCGTGGTGCCTCTTTAATGCCGTGTAGAGATTTTCGAAGACGGCAAACGCACGGTGGGTTAGTAGTATAGGAATGCGGGTACTCTACCAGGATAAGTGCGTCGACAGGCGCGTAGAGAAAAGCATTCGAGACGTCAATTTGTCGGAGTCGAAGATGGCGGCAGGCGGCGACACAAAGAAGAATCCGAAGGGAGCAAATGTTAACTCGTAGTCGATGCCGTAAGTCTGCTCGAATCCGCGGACGACCCATCGCGCTTTGAACTTTTCAAACGACCCATGTGCATTAGTCTTGACGCGGAAGACCCACTTTCCGGTAAGTACCTTTTTCCCTTTGACCTCTGAAGTCGGTACTAAATCCCATGTTCCACGATTCTTGAGTGCTGCTAGCTCCTTGTCCATGGCTTCGCGCCATTTCTCTCGGTGAGGACTCGTACTGCTTTCGGTTCAGGTATCTTACTGTCGTTGCACTGTACTGCTACTGCAAATCCAAGTATCTGCAATCCTGTTTCTGTAAAACGCGGACGTTCTTCGTTTGCACCTGCGAAAATTTCTTCTGGTCCTTCGTCCCCCCCAATTTCGTCAGGTGTAACACGAACTGCTTCATCGGAGACGGCGGGCATCGGATGTTGCTGGCGATCGCGTTCGTAACTGAGACGAACTTCGCGAACTTCATCCTGGTCAGCATCTGCAAGAAGAATAAACTGAGGTATGCCGGTCGAGGTGACAGGTTCGGGAACGTCGGTTGCGGCAGCTTCGGATGCCTCAGAAACTGCTTCATCCTGTACATCAGCTTCGGCCTCGTCAGTGGCAAACGCACGCGAGCCTTCGAACAGCCTGGCGGGATTGGCAGCTGCTGCCTGGTGGGCACGAAAAACGGGCAAGGTGAGTCTTTCATAGGAAAGACAATCACGTGATGGAACGATTTGATGGGAGCGAAGATCCAAAATCTTCCACGCGTGATACTGTTTTTCGATGCCGAGGTGAACCCCCCATTTTGCTCGTTCAGAAAATTTTCCGAGGGCTGCGGTTGGAGGACGAAACTGGACAACACACCCGAAGACTCGTAAAAGTTTTGTGCTTCCCACTGTTCGTGTCCACTACAAGTGTGGAGAAGAAAACTCGGGCAGGGACGTTGAAGAAAGAAGATTGTGTAACAGCACAACGTGGTCCATCGCATACGGCCAAAAATGCGGTGGAAGAGCTGCCTGCGTCAGCAGAGCACGCATCTTCTCCTGCAGAGTCCTGTTCAACCTTTCTGCTACCCCCATCTGTTGGTGTGCATGTGGCAGAGACTGCTTCCGTTTGATGCCGAGTGTCTGAAGGTACTCTGTGAAGGTATTGCTGGTGTACTCCCCTGCACCATTACTCTGAAATTCTTGCAGTTTCACTCCTGACTCTCGTTCAGCGACAGCGAGCCATGCGACGAAGACGGAGTGAGCGAGATGGCGCGCAGGTAAGTTAGCTGTCCAGACATAGCGTGTAGACGCCTCGATGAAGGTTATCACATACGTCACGTCTTTAGGTCCTGCTTCAGACAAGTTGAGTATGTCACTGTAGACTTTCTGCATTAGTTTATAACAGGTTGAGCCGGGAAAATGACTTGGAAATGGATCGTGCGTAAGGTTGGCAACTGGACACGTGGTGCAAACCGTCGGACGAGACTGCGGCTTCATTTCTGTGCCATCAGGTAAAAGTAAACTATTTTTATCAAGGACTGCTGCTCGGATTGAATGATTGAGTATGCCGTGTGATGGATGTCCTAGACGCTGATGCCATATATCTTCCGTGGCTTTGTGTCCTGATGATTGTAGGTACAAATCGGAGTTAGTATAAAAAGAAGAGAGAATGAAAAGAGAAAGGGCTAGGGACTTGTCAATTTCTCCTTCGACGAAACGGTTATGAGGTAGCGTGACATGTGTTGGTGCTGCTGCAGTTGTAAGAATAACATTTGACACTGCTTCTGTTGATGTTATTTTGCAGGTATTTCGGCGACAGCGACTGTTGGACTCGGCTGCTGAGCTACTGCTTCTTGTTCTGCTTCTTCAACGACGTCTGTTTCATCGGCTGCAAGACCACTTATCTCTCCCCAAAGTGGTGCTGGAGTTCCTTGGAAGGCTGCACGGGTATTATAAAATGTTCGCCACGCGGTGGCGCTTTCATCGGCGGTATTGAACTCCCAGGTATCCAACGCGGTAAGTACAGCGGCTGCTGTTCGAGAAGCTGTTGGTACTGTAGTTGCTCGAAAATCAATATCCACGTTTTGATAATCTGTTTCTTCGGGGTGATCCCAGGGACCAAGTGCAAGGACGCATTCAGAATCGCCAGAAGTTTCATGTGCTACGAATTGAAGTGCCGACACGCCATGTTGAGTGGCAGCACGACCAAGGTAGGTATTAGTTGAGCCGTGGAAAGAAGATTGAAGCCAAGACCAGCGACGATAAGAACATTCGTAACATGAAGTGAGTATCCCGTGTCGATAGATTTGAGCATGACACTGCCAACTGATCGTGCCATTATCGTTTGTCCGTTTGCGACTGTGACAGGTATCGGACGACGAAGTGGACGCTGATTGGTGCTAAAGCTTGTTTCGGCAGAACACATATGCCATCCGCAGCAGCTGTCGAGATACCAGGTATTTGGTCCTGACATTATTATGCGAGCAAGGTTAGCGTAAACTTGAGGTAAAGGAATGCCTTCAGCACTTGTTGTTTCTTCAAGTCGTGTTTCGAAATCTGTTTCTGAAACACCAACTGTGGTGACGCTGCCAAAAACCCCTTTTCCTGATGTGGCAGATGCGAAGACCGGCGGACGATGCTGCGACGTCGATGGAATCTGCGGCAGTTTCGGCATCTGCTGCTGCTGAGACGTTAACTGCTGCTGTGGCTGTTGGGTCTTCGGTAATTGCTGCGATCGTTGATACGGCTGCGAAGTATTGCGACGATTTTGATGACGGCTGTGACAGTTTTGGTAAGTGTGACCTGGTTTCTTACAGAAATGGCAGAACGGATACTTTGGTGGATGTCGATTCTGTGTTTCTGGATTGGAGTAGAAACTTAAATGAACCCCCCTTTTCTGGTTGCGTTGTGACTGTATGTCAAGATCTTGCTGCTCTTCTTGAAGATGGGAAGAAATTTCACTTCGGAGAGGTTGGGATTCATGCGCAGGAAGGCGCGCGTCTGACGCCATTCGGGTCCAAGACCAGCCAGAAGGACAGTGAGATACATCTCTCGAGGGAAGTATCCCCCACTTTTCTCCAGTTGATCGCGTAGTGTACGGACACGGTTAACGTAGTCCATGACGTTTTCGTTGGTCATCATCTGCACACTTGTCAGCTGCGAAAGGATTTTACTCACTGTTATCGTATCTTTTGCCATGTATACCCCTTTCAGATGGTTCCATGCAGTTTCGGCTGGGGTAAAACTTGAGTGAAATGACCAAACGCCGAGCTGCTCCTTCGGTGACAAGTTCCGTACAAGAACTGTATAAGCCTCGAGAGAAGCGTGCAAGAAACTCTGCTGCTCCAGTTGTGTTCCCACGACAGGATACGTAAATTCGCCAGTGAAGAACGGCCATAGCCCAGCGGACTGCGCCAGAAGCTCAAACTCAAAGCTCCGGGAGTAGA